TGGCCAGCCGGGCCACCAACCCGACAGTTTCAGGTGGCCCGACGCCGTTTCAGGTGGCCATTGGCACCCGGGCCACCGTTAAAGTCGAGCCCTGGTATACACCTGTTTTGATATTCAGTGCATGTGACTATTTCAGCAAAGGCAGCAGGAGATGATACGAGTGATGGAGTTAAAGAGGCAGCAGGAGGAAGCGGCACAGCGAGCAAAAACAGTGAGTTGAACAAGCATATGTTCGTAAAATGAAGTAAATAGAGTAGTATTGAGTCGGTGTGTGCAGCAGTGTGTGTAGCAGTGCAGCAAGTGGCAAGAAGCAAACATTTGCAAGTGTACGTATTGTATTTATTAGAGCGTTAGGCTTCGTCTTCTTTTGTATAATGACAAAAGGAAATCCGATTACATCATATCATCGTCTTATTTGTGGCACACAGCACAATAAATGCCTTGCAATACATACCCTATTCCGTGGCTTATAGGATACACTTTTGTCTCAGAACATGTCTTCAAAAACCACCTTGCATCCTATAAGTTGAAGGTTGGTGTAGCAGACATTGTTACATCTATGATTTTTAGCTACAGTACTGTATATTATACACCTCAGCAGAAATCGAATACCCTACAGCATATGCTAGGCTTATGAAATACAGATAATTTAAATGGCTAAAAACACTGGCTGGTGAACAATGAACCAGCCTAATTTATGGTGAACATATACCTAGTAGTGGGCGTTTTGTTTTTAAATAATCACCTTCCAAAGTCGGGTTCTGATGCGTCGGAGCGTCTTGATTTGTGTTTCTCGAGACCTAACTTTTCTTCTTGTGTTGTTCTCCTGCCGTCGCAGCCAGCACAGCTTGCACCCTGGGCCCATCACTCCCAGCAGCAGGCTACCGGTGCCCTGTCTCTCGCACGCATCCAGCAGTGGCAGGAGGAAAAGGATCAGGAAGCCATGGAGAAGCAGAAGATCCAAGTGCAGCAAGATCAGATTCAGCAGCAACAACAGCAGCAGCAACAGCAGCAGCTCAAGGGCTCCTGGGTTAACAGGTTAGTGCAGACTTCGTCAATCCGCTTCAGAAATGATTACACACCAGGGTTCGAGTTCAATGGCAGGTGCCATGGTTGCCCTCCTTTCTTGCGGTGGTATCCCTGAAAATCTGCATGATGTCCATGCCAATAAACTGCCATGCCTCACCCAGTTTGTCTCTTTGCTCTTCCCAGTAAGTCCCTGTTGCATATCCCTCTTTGTCCTACGTGAATGGTGTTGATGGCCTTGATAGTAAGTGGCCTTGTTAATCCACATTTAAAGGAATTGTTTGCCTGGCTGTGGTGCCGTAACATTTCCCAAAAGTAAATCCAACGTAACACTTTCCTACTCCTACCCTAAAAAATTATAATTTGACCATCGGCAATCCAAGCCTCTGCATCCACGTAACTATGCAGTGTAGCGAGATGAGTAACCACGGTAACGATCGTTGCAGGGCTCCAGTCAACACAGCACCGCAGGTGAAGTCTCTGCCACAGATTCAGGAGGAAGAGGCGAGAAAACTGCTACGGCAGAAGGAGAAGCAGGTGCAGCAGCAAAAGCAGCAGCCAGCAGTAAGTGTTACATTTAGTAGTAGTAGTAGTCAGGGGCGGCGCCACAGGGGGGGCAGGGGGGGCGGGCGCCCCCCCCCCCTATCATTTGCAAGAAAAAGAAAAGAAGAAGAAGAAGAAAAAGAAAAGAACGGCAGGAAAGAAGAAAAGACAAAAAAAGAAATAAAGAAAAGGAGGATAAAACAATGTCCTTGCAAGTAACAGCTGCGGTGGGGAGGTGTGACGGGGTCACCCCCCCTCCATCGTTTGCAAGAAAAAGGTAAGAGAAGCCCGACATTCTTGCAATAATATAGCGCCCACGTCGCCCGAAAAATCATGAGTGCAATGTAGCTTACAAGCTGGACCATTCATTCGAAAATCGAAAAAAATTACAGATGATCCGAAATTCAATCATATAAACCTGATTGCCTTATCTTGATAATTATCACAATGATAAAGGTTGTTTTTCCTTGGTTCAAGTTGGACATAATTTGTCCCGATGATGCGTTTCCGGCGAGAAGGTAGGCACCACCTTGTGGTAAGTTAACAATCTTACATAGATATGTACAGTTACAGACTGACCTATATCAGAGGCGTTCTACGGAAAACAGCGAGCCGGCAGAAGTCGCTAAAATGCGCCCTTTCAAACTTCTTTGACCAATGGCAATGGAAAAATACTAAAGAAAAAATAATGTGAGTTGGTGATTCCTCAGCATTACGATAATACTTCCTTAAACCTTACACTTTACATCCAGGTAGGTGGGCTTTTCCAGATATGCTAAGTGTAGGTGGGCAGGAATGGCGTGCAGCGGTTCGGTCGGAGCGTGGCATGGAATGAATTTCTTAGGATTCCCGGGAGAGTTTAGATTTTTACTACGTGGATAGTGACTGAAGTCGGCAGCTGAAGCAGCGTAGTGGCGTAGGTTAATCTGATTAAAATGATTCAGACGGTCGGTGCTCGCGAGCATTCGGTCGACGTTCCGAATGACGCTATGCTTGCTCTGGAGAAAGATGGGCTGCAACCGTTTTGGTCGACGTTTGATGGCATTTTGATTTCTTCGGCCGTTTTTATACGTGTTCGATAACATTGAAGCGGGCAGGTGCCGAGTAGTTTGCATGGTTAAAATCTGATATAAATAGTTATTTTCGCTCTCAGATCGCGGCCGCGATTCGGGATCAGCGTTGGACTAATGTATTGGGAGTGGAGCGGCGCGAGTGGCAACGTGGTGCGGGTGTGAGTGGCAAGTAGAAGTTTTCTCGGACGTTGGTTATTATTTTCGACTGAGCGGGCAGGTGCGAGGTCGTGCATGGTAAAGATGCGTGTTAAAATATTCAGTCGCGCGTTTCGTGGCATCGCGCGGCGATTCTAATCCGAGCTGATGCTAATGTGTGATGGCGGATGGGCGCGTGGCAGAGCAGTGTGGTGCGAGCGGGTTGGGAGTGGAATGAGTGTTCTTCGGGTTTGTTAGTAACGTTTGCGTGAGCGCGGGCGGGGCTGAGACGTGGATGGTAAGTCTGATGTAAATATTTCACTTCGCTTCCCCGCATGCGCGCGCGGATTCGCCGATGCCAGCTATGGGCTTGTATGGGCGAATGCGTGCACGATTGGGTGCGAGTGCTGTGGGGCGAGTATAGGAGATTTTTGGGTCTGGGCTCGCTTCGGGGGCGGGTCTTCTTTTTCGTTCTCCGATACTCTGAGCCGGGGCAGTGCTTGACAGCACGTGTTGCATGGTAAAATTGATTAAAATATGTCATTTCGCTCTCAGCATCGGCGGACGATTCCCGAATTCCCGCTTCATGGTAATGTTTTTTGGTAGAGAATGGCTGCTAGGTGCACGTAGGTCGCACGTTGTATGGCAATAGATTCCTTCTCGGCCGTTGTTATTTTAGTTTTCGCGACTTTTGATTTTGCGGGAGGGCTGAAGCACGTTGTGATCGGTAATTGATATTAATATATTCATTTACCGCTATCAGCATTCGCGCGACGTAGTTCTTTCCGAATCCCAGCTATTTGTAATGTATGCGGCGAATTGGGCTGACGGTTGGTGACGTTGACTGCGCATTAGGGGTCAGAATTTTCCTTCCCCGGCCGTTTTTTACGTTTTCGACTGAGCGGGAGGCTGACCGCACGTGGTGCCATGGGTAAAATTCCGGATATAAATATTCATTTCGCTTCGAGCATCGCGCGAGATTTCGAGATCAGCTATGTAATGTATGGCGAAGATGGCCCGCTGGCATCGTTTGGTCGGACGTTGACTGGCAATCGAATTTCTTCGGCGGCGTTTTTATACGTTTGGCGACTGAGCGGAGACGGGCCGGTTGACAGCGTGTGATCGGGTAAAATGTCGACTATCATCTTCACTTCCCGGTGGACTCCAGCAGTGCGCGACCCGTTGCTCCGATCGCAGCTAGATCGTATGTATGGGCGTATGGCGTTTTTCGGGTGACGTTGGTCCGTCGTTGACTGGCTCGAATTAGAATTCGGTGTTCTTCGGCGTTTTATATACGTTTCGGTCATACTTTAAGACGGGGGCAGTAGTTAGAAAGACGTGTGCATGGAGTAAATTGGATATAAATGGATTCAACTATAGCTATCAGCAATCGCGCGACGTTCCGGATCGAGCTATGCTAATGTATGGCGATGGCGCATGTCAACGTTGGTCGAGGTTGACTGGTGGAATTTTTTAGATTTTCATCTTTTTCAGTGGCAAAATGATTCTTTTTTATCCTTTTCATCGATGTTCTCTTCCCTGCCGTTTTTATCGTTTTGACCGAAGCCGGGCAGGGTGTTACAGACTTTGTGTCTGGTTAAATTGGATATAAAATATTCATTTCGTCCTTTGGGTCGCGCGACGATTCCGGATTTTTTGCTGATGCTATTGTTTATGGCCGCGCAATTTGTGGCTTTTTTTCGCTTGAACGTTGCGTCGGAGGGTTGATTGGCAATAGATCTCTTTTCGGCGTTTTTATACGTTTCGACTGAAGCGGGAGCTGAAGCATGTGTGCATTAGTAAATTGGATATAATTCATTCCTTCGCTCTCGATCCGGTAGCCGATTCCCGTATCCAAGGCTTGTATGTCTGGGCGAATGGCGTGCAAACCGTTGGTCGACGGGTTGATGGCATAGAATGTTCTGTCGCCGTTTTTAGTACGTTTTTGACTGGAGCGAGGAGGTGGCAGACCGTGATGTCATGGGTAAAATCTGATGCTAAAATATTGATTTGGCTCCTCGCATCGCCGGCTGGCGTTCGCCGAATACGGAGATGGATGCCTTAACTGGTGGATGGAGGCGATGGCGCGCTGCACGCGTTCGGTCGAGGTTGACTGGCAATTTCGTAGACTCTTCTTCGGCCGTTCTTTATACGTTTTTTCGACTTGAAAGCAGGGGCAGGGTGAAGAAGTGTGATGCGGTCACATTTACTGTGAATAAAATTTCACTTGCTTTTCCTGCATCGCCCGCGGTTCGCGAATAAGATATTGGTAATGTATGGGAATGGCCGCTTTATGCTTCATTTACGCTTAGTTTGTCGCGATTGGAATGGCTTTCCAATTTATAGATTTTTTTTCGGTTCCGGGCCGTTTCTTTATACGTTTTTTTCGACTGAAGCGTGGGTAGTTCGCTGAAGCACGTGTGATGAGTAATTGACTATTTAATATTTTACTTCGTTCAGGATCGCGCCGACGATTCGTAATCCAGCTTTGTATGTTATGGTCCGGGCGCGAAGGGTGGACGCTGCAACGTGCGTCGTATTGACTGGCCATAGATTCTTTCGGCGCGTTTTGTATTACGTTTCGTAGAGCGGGGCAGGCTGTTTACGGCAGTGGTGGCCAATGAGTAGGCTTGATATAAAATATTTTCACTTCGCTCTCAGCTGCGCGACGATTCGCGACTCCCAGCTTGTAATGTATTGGGACTGTTAGCGAATGGCCGCTGCAACGATTGGTCGACCCGTTTGACTTGTCAATAGATTTCTTCGGTTGTTTTTATACGTTGTCGATGGAAGCGAGGCGTTGCTGCAGCCGTGTGCATGGTAAAAAGATATAACTATTACTTCGCGTCTCAGCATCGCGCGACGATTCCGAGATCGGCTATTGCTAATTGTATGGCGAATGGGCGCGTGCAACGGTTGTGGTCGACGTTGATGGCATGAGATTTCCTTCTCTCTCGGCGTTTTTATACGTTTCGACTGAGACGGGAGGCTGACGGGCGTGTGGATGGGTAAAATCTGAGATATAATATTCACGTCGCTTCAGGCATCGCGCGAACGTTCCCGATCCGCTATGGTAAGTGTATGGTTCTTAATCGTTCGCTGCCGAACGATTGTCGAGTTTTTGACTGGCATAGAATTTCCGTGCGGGGCGTTGTGTTTACTTGTCGGACGCTGAAGGCCGAGGCAGGTGATTCCGCGGTGTGCATGGTTAAAATCTGATTTATGGAATTATTTCCACCTTCGTTGCGTTCGGATCGTCGCGCGCTTCGTCCCGCTATGGTAATTATTTTGTGCGATGGCGCTGCAACGTTTGGTCGGCTTGTTGTTACTGGCTATAGTAATTTCCTTCGGCCGTTTTTTTTACAGTTTCGATGAAGCCGGGCAGGTAGGAGTCGGTGTTACAGGACGTGTGTGGCATGGTAAATCTGTGATTAAATTTCATTCGGTCTCAGCCATCGCGCGCGACGATTCGCGTTGATCCAGCTTTTGCTAATTGTTGGGCGAATGGGCCGCTGTTGCAGTTGGTCCGACGTGGCTGACTTGGCAGTAGGATTTTCTTCGGGCCGTTTTTTACGTTTTCGATGTCAGCCGGGCAGGCTGGAAGCACGTGTGCATGGTGTTAAATCTGCATAGCTATATTCACTTCGGCTTCCGTCGCGCGCGTTCCCATATCAGCTTATGCTAATGTATGGGACTATGGGCGCGGGGTGGGCGAGAACCGCCTGTTTCAAGTGGTCGACCTGTTTGAACTGGCGGGAACTAGATTTCGGCTTCGGCCGTTTTTTGACTGATTTTCCTCGGATCTGAGCGTGG